TGGTCCTCTCTGAGATTAGCTCGCACAGTGGTTCATTCTTTTTTCTCTTGAACCGTCTATTTTCTCATAGTTACAGTAATGCAACCATTGTCGGATTGTCGGTTTGGACTCGGAGTTGTAATTTATGACATTTCCTTGGCTTCGAGTATCGCTTCTTTAATCTGAGGAGCGACAAATTGCCCGGAGCATAAATCGCAGACATGCTCAATGGTTTGACACCGAAAATTGGATATCTAACAGGCTATTGAAGTAGCCCATGCGTCTAACATATTTCAATAGCAACTGTTCCATTCCAACTTTTCAGAATACACTGATTACTGGAAACTCTACAGTGCTCAATGGATTGGAACTGCCACGAGCAATGATTTTTATATTTTTTCCACACACCAGACCTAGTACGAACTCCGCTGTCTTATCAAGTTGCTGAACTTTGCTATCAAATGCACATCTTTGTCTCCACGCCAAAACGCTACCGTTTTCAGTCACACCGACCGCACATATTGACCTTTTTTTAAGCTGTCCATATTACTCTGGATGGCTTTTTGTGAATTCCTCTTCCGGTAACCTAGTCTGGTGTAACTTGACAGATTATATCGGCGCAGCCGCTGTCCAGAATAGTCCACAGAAAGCATATCTCGTCCGTTTTATATGAACCATTGGAGGTCCTCGCATTAACGCTTCCATGATGAAACCGTCAACAGCTGACAATATGGGTAACTAGTCTTGAAGGTATTCATATCATAGTATACTTGTTCAACGGGTACAATTGGCCAAGAATCTCCATGCTCCACAAGAGAAACTTCGACAGACTCATAGTAGCCAACTGTGAGGCTGTTGGGTGTGATTGCCTGAATTGGAACTTTGGGCCAGATGGTTTGTCTGTCAAAGCGTAGTGGCATCTCCCACTTGGATGAGGGGGTCCCTATTCCCTTGTAGCCATCGCATCCACCGGAAATCACCAGATTCCCCGACAAAATACCGATCTTCAGACTCATTGGATAAGTGCAGTTCCCAAGTTTCCGTCAACCTTTCACTCCAACTGAACCCGAATTCGGGGTGTACACTCATTTACACACTTTTTTCTTAAGCGAGATAGCTAAATTCCAGATGAATCTATGGTTTATGATATTCATTGTTAATGCGCCCACCTGATGAACCTGGAGAAGGGCGAAACCGGTGATCAGATATCGAAGAGTTTACAACAACCCTATGAACAGCTTTCCTCAACCAAATATACCGTAATCTCTCAGACATCACACCAACTGGAGCATGAAGGAGTCTTTGAACAGCACATACAGTTGCCGCAAACGAGAGATTCAGCCGGGATTTAGCTGAAGCTGTCAATAAAAACTTACTGGTATGTAAATGAGGGTGTCCCGCGGATGGGTGATAAAATTTGAGTGATGTGGAGGCAGATGTGAATTTTGTGCTCAGAGCAATCGAATAATTTCGGTGAGCGTTCGTCCTGGGATTTCTCTCACTGAAAGAAAGAAGGGTTTTACTGCGGAGATGTCTGTTAGGGGAACTCCAACTGAAGGGTTACAAACTATTGAACAGGGGAGCAAAACCCTCTTGTGTACAAAACTGCATATCCATCTTCTCCATAAACGCGGCTTCCTAAACTTTTCTGGATTTCATTGACTGTTACCCGAATGCAAGCAAATGCTACAAGGTGAGTCGACAAATTCCGTAGTAGATCTTACTTTTCAAGAGACTCAAAGCGATTTACGGGAGAACATACTACTCGTGTGCCTCTAATCAGTGGTATCACCGTTACATCACGAACAAGGTGGTGTGGGAATTCTAGCCCCTCGGTTCGCGCAGGAAATGAAACTTTAATTCCTATGTTGGCTTTTGTACTGCCATACTGAGAGAATACATAGTAGTAGACATTCCATGTTTTGATCATGATTTTTTCGTTTTCTGTGCCATTTGATTTGGCCATTGAAGTGGAACTAAATTTATGAGCCAGATAGGCTGGACTGTATGCACGCGATTCCTAGCATCGAAACTTCCAAGAACATTCAAATGCCACGGGTCCGCGACGTTTTCTGAGGTAGTACAGCGTTTTCCAGATGAATCTGTTCATCCAGATGAAAAAATAAGACGAAAATGCGAAACTGAATCTCCTAGGTGTAGGGCGTAGAAAATGAAATAGCTGGAAGTGTGAAAACCTTCACGGAGGCTGGGACGAAATAAGAGGCTAGATTTCACTCCTGGTTAGTACTTGGAGCAGATGAAGGAGATCTGAAAGAAGGAAAGAACTGCGGCCAACCTCATCATGGTCATCTGCATACTAGTGAAAGGAAGAAGGCCTTCGCTTCGGAGTTATTAAAAATGCCAACTGACCAGTTACGGACTATTGGACAGGGAAGCAAAACTCTCATTTGCATCCTATTTTCAAAAACTGAACATCCATATTCTCTTGAACATATCTTCTGGAACTTTCCGGGATATCAATTGACTGTTGCTCCAATCTAATCAAATGCTTCAAAGCGACTCCACAAATTCCGCATTAGATCTCTCTTTTCAAGAGACGCAAAGCGAATTTACAAGAAGAAAACATACTACTCGCATGCCTTCCTCGTCAGTAGTATCACCGTCACACAAAAGAATAAAACTGGTTAACATACTACCGCATGCCTTCCTCGTCAGTAGTATCACCGTCACACAAAAGAATAAAACTGGTTCCGTTTGTGCATTTGCCGGAAATTAGCATGACGCCTTGGAAAGTGGTGAGCGCAATTTCGAAACTGATGTGCAGGAGATTAAGGTTTGCGCGTGACGTTCAAACAAGTCAGTATTATTATTGAAGATTTCAACAGAACTGAGCAGATGACCTCCTGTCAGAGTGCGCTGAGCTAACGCTATCCCCACAGCGCTTCTTTTGTTCTTCAGCACACAAGTGCTTTGAAAACACTTGTCAGAAGGAACAGCTGATCAGCGCACTCACAGATTCTTGAATGAAGCTAACAGATAGACTTCAGTGGTAACTGGTTCCCTAAACGACTGAAATCGGTGATTAGTAGTACATGCACAGACTATGAGCCACTTCAACAGAATCTAATAAATGTATACATCAAGATATCCTTGTACCGAAATAAAATTGGCACAGCACTGTCAGTTACACGGTTTTTTTCAGGTCACCTGATTTTTCTCCTGCATTCATTGTTTGATTGATTTTGTTTGGCTACTAATCGCTATTGTTTGAAACTTCTGGCATTGGATAAATTTGTCCTGGCAGTGATTCTACTCTAGGTTCCAAAACATGCCTTAACTGTTTTTAAAAAAAATAAATTCCTCAATTTTTGTGCCCGGCTATGAGGGTTTTGCACTTTCCAAGAAAACAATACGTCAATTGAGTGTGTCCCTCTTCCGGACTAGGACCGACTTATTTGTTTTCTACCATTAACAACCCAATGAAAATGTGATATCGCATAATCGGGTCAGCAACGGCTTCAGCGCACGGGGACAAGAAGTCACGCGATCCGAAAAGCAATTTCCTGTCATGTGTTTGCCGCAACATACTTTGTTGAAATACTGGGCGATTCATAGGCGAGTGGATACGTTTGCATACTTGGATGATAAGAGTAGAACCTGGACCAAGCAGGATGTGTATCCCATGTGTATGCACGCCCGGTTTTGTGCTTGTCAGTCTTCTGACATCCGGCCGGCGAAAGCGTGTGAAATGGTGTACGAAGTATATCACAAATATTTTATCAAGTGGTTTAAAGATTCTTTAGTTTGGCAGTACTGTGCTGACAGCTGTTCACTATTCTCCGTTCATCTCCACGAGATCAAACAAAGAACTGAATAAAACCTGCGTCTAGACAAAACATACCACTCATAATTTCCAGTAGTTATCGCTTTCCTTAGCAGTGTTTTGGGCATGAATGGCTAACTCGAATACGTGGTAAAACCTCCAAACAGGAACACTGTAATCTACATACAGGAATTAATCCTGAGAAAGTGTCATCCCCTGGAGCTGATGAAGCGATCTGTTTAATCTGGCTGAGGTATTTTTTATTCGAATTTATGACGGCCCCCAGCCTAATGGAGAATTAAAAAAGGAATAGCTTGGCATATATGACTGGGAAATTTTTTGTCATCACCATCATCACCACTGACACCTGCAGCACAGTCGCCATCATGTTTCACATGCTGTTTTTGTTTTTATGCGTTCAGTTGTTTTTCATTTAGCCAATGTTTCTTCTTCCGTCCTCTTTTTTGCCTGAATGTTTCGTCAATTGTTTATTTGTTTGCTTAGTTTGTTTACTGTTTGCAAGAACAAGGCCCGAATACGTTCGAATGACGGCTTTTCAGCAACCTTATGAGTAGTAAATTAAAAAGATATAGACGTATCGCGATATCTCGAATCTCATGGCGACTGAAACATGAGGCGGTCTGGTGCAGCACATTCAGCTGCCTGTAAACATCACAAATGAGAGACTCAGCTGGGTTCCAGGTGGGTCTTTCGAAAGACCAAATTAGTTTGCAAATGAGTGTATATACGCTACGTTCAAATGAGATTTTGGTGAGTCCAGACCAAAGGGTGGGGAAGGGCTGGACTCGAGTTTTGTTCTTATTAGGGCTCACCAACGATGCATATCCAATGACTGTGCCGGGGTTTGAACTCCGCACATCTGATGTGCGAGACGAGCGTGTTGTCATTACTCCACCAGCGCACGCCGCACTCATCTGGACAGATGAACATGTTTACACGTGAGTGATGTGAGCGGAACGCCCGACCGCTCGAACAGCGACCCAGTAACACACCTTGGTTGTGTCGATCGATTGACCCGCCAGTTAGTACTTCCCAGTCAGGTAGCGCCATAAACACTTGAAACCTGCTGGACTCTCGTTTGGAAAATCGCGCAATCGTGCTGGTGAGTCCACAACAAAGGGTGAAAGCACTGGACTCAACCGACACAGCCAAGGTATGCCAATGGGTAATTCGAGTCATCGGGCGTTCCACTCGCATCACTCATGAGCGAACATGTTCACCCGTTCAGACGTAAAAATCCGGATAAGTCCAATGTGTGCTGGTGGTGTAGTGGTAACACGCTAGCCTCGCGTGTCAGATATGCGGGGTTCAAAGCCCGGCACGGCCATTGGATATGCGCCACTGATGAGCTGTAATAAGAACGAAACTCGAATCCACTGCTTTTCCCCTTTGGTGTGGATTCACCAGGACGATTGCGCGAGGAGAATAGAGCTACTGTTCAATCGAGAGTCATGTGAGTGTGGATTCTACAAAATCCCACAGCCATCAACATATGAAATGAGGTTTTCTTGCTTGACAGTGTGAACAACACACTGTGTCAGGTTTTATTTTTTGAAAAAAAAACGACACCTACTTTGTAATAGGCTTGACTGTCATTCGCCTGAATACAACCAAAGCTGGTGTAATCCATCCGTCCTTAGTTCTGGCAACCCTTCGATACTACTCCAGTCAAAGAGTGATGCGCTTTCATGCTGCTTTTAAAAATTGCAAACAGAAAGTACCAAGATGGTGGGCAAAAGACTGGGTAATAATGTTGGTGTTTTGCGCGACCAAACCACAATTTTGTCACATCGTCCTAAGCTTCATGGGCCTTGTGAACGGGCACGCTGATAAGAAAACTCTCCCTGCAACTTCACTCTCCGTTATTCTTGAAGTGCCTCCAATATTGGGCAGAACAACTCACAACGGTATCCTGCTCAAAACCTCAGTCCAGTTGGAACATATTCAGCCACAACAGCATCCTCCTGATCCCCAACTGTAGGGCCATGAACATTCCTCCTATGTCTGGAATTTTTCCAATGAACCTAAGCGCCGCCACTGTTGTTATTATCTCAGATGCAAACAGGTCTCGTCAATAATTCGGAACCATCTCGTAGGAAATCCTACAGAATGAACTTAGAGTTCTTCGCCGGATGTCGTTTCTCGTCAGTATTCCAGTCTTTGTACATTCACTTCAGCCTAGTTATTCCTGAGCTACCGATGGAACAGGTTCTCGAGACAGCCCAAGTTCCTCTACAACCTTTTTGCTGACATCTGACTACCTGCCAGAATCACATCATGCATCTGGTCAGCCATCTACGGAGTTGACGCCTTCGGAGGTCATCTCAACCTGCATTTTCCTCGTTTTCTGCTTGGAAATCTCCTTCGTTCAATTTAGCGCATCAACCTTTAACGGTGAAATCTGGTGGGCACTTGTCACACGGTGACTGCCTCATTCAGTCACAAATGTTTTGTCGGTCGGTTTATCAGGTCCACAAAATTCATGGATCCAAAGGTCACTGAATATTTCATCGAAGTAGTTAACGGACTGACTTGAAACAAAGTGAAAATATACTGTGATATCTCGACTATCGTGCCAACTGAATCATGAGGCGCCCTGTGTGCAGCACATTCAGTTGTAGAATATCATAAACGAGAGATTCAGTTGAGTCTCTCGTGAAAACTAGATTGATTTGCAAATGAGTGAACTTCTCGAAAAAGTGAAAACTGAGTCACGATTGAGCAATTTAGCCCAGAAATCAACGGCAATGTTTATCTACGCTTCCCATTCTTCGGTTTCAGTAGCTAGGTTAAACCGAAAACTTTTCAGTTGCTTCTTTCAATGCTCAGGTTGTGTTCCGTTGAGCAAATTTCGCCTTCATTGCAGTTTAGCCAGGCATATACTGACTGAGTCCCAAAATCAATGTTTGGTTATGGTGAGAAAAAGTTTCCCTCACGTTCTGTTAGTTCACGACCACAACAGTCATGTTTGAACAGCCATCCTCCTGTCCTGGAGCAAAGATTCTGGTGAGTCTCGAGGCCTCGAGTTCCGCTCCTGTTATAACCCAGTTGTGAACTCCACACATCTGAATTGCGGGGAGAGCGTGTTACCACTGCTCCACCAGCGTAGCCTGGACGCATATGAATTTTCACATGTGAACAGACCAACACGTTCAGGCTTGAGTAACGTCTTAGTGTAGTCCGACGCCAGGGCACTAAAGCATATCTGATTTGTTGAATCTCTTGGGACATGACGTAGCTGACAGCACTCTAGCTAGAGACGTCGTCGACGTAGATTTCATTTGTCAGCCATGCACTCATTGGCATCAAATCTGACTGAAATAATTTCCTTCTACATGGCAAACGAACAAATGGCAGAGGTTTTCAAGAAATACACACCAGCAAATAGGGGTATTTTTCAAAAACAGTCCAATTTGGGTTCAAGTAGAACAGAAGGTTGACGGAAGCTCGGGGAGTGCGCCTACCTTATGAGCCCCGAGAAGGGCGAAACCGGTCGTGGTCTGTCGACGAGTTTTCAGCAACCTTGTGAGTAGTGTCCTTTAGGCAAAGAGGTTTCTTCTTGAACTAAAGTTTCCAGTCATCCAACTGAAGATCCAGGTTCACGCGCAGTTTGTGCGCAAAATTAAGCGACAAATTGTGCAATTGGTTTGCGCTTTTGGGACCAAGATGTACTTGTTCTAATCTACACATTTGGATCAGTAATGGCACGCCGATTATGTCAGGACGTGTTGTATCTACAAAGCCACAAGTACTAACTCATTACTTCACGGTGTCAGGCACTTGATGTAGCACCCATGAAATAGCACCCCATGAGAACATTCATGAAGAGGATCAATGAAGAATTGCTTAGCAAGGAAACATATGAATTTCAGTAGTATACAGAAGACGAAGTTTTAAAATACACACGATGCTGGTACCAGATGATCCACGGTTAAATTGCATGTGTTATAGTCCTCAAATGTTATACTGGACAACGCAGACACTTAAGTCAGCCGGTTTTCTTTTCTGTTGAACTGTAGTCTTCTCTTTTGCACTCGCAAAAGACGCGAAAATGGTAGCTCGCCAGCCGCAGCACCGGTGGTGAATAAGTCCAGGATCTCTAACTAAAGTGGAGCGGCCCGTGCATTGTACCCACTTCAACGAAGCAGCGACAGCCCACAGCATACTGAAAATTACCCTTCTTTTTGCAAGTTTGTCTAAGCTTATCTGCTTCTGGATGGGATGCTCACCGGAAATGGTTTGTTCTTCCCAAATCCCCTATTCCAAACAGTTTGGACTCATTTTTATGGGAGAGCAGATTTCTGTGAATGCGCTGTGACCATTCAAAATGCAAAATTTTGCTAAGAACCTGAGTCTACGATAATCTGAGCACCCACACAACGCATTACATTCTCGTGAATCCAAATGGTTTCACGTGTATGCAAAAAGAATTGTGCTCTTATTTTTATATTTTGTACAAAACTGCTAGAATCATTCCACGTTTGCGGTAGCCTCCACTGTCGTCCCTCCACCGATTATGGGGTTCAATGTGGATCAGGTCGCCGATCAAACAAAGCGTTGATTGTGTTTTTTGATCGATCCGAATGAGATGCAAGATCTCAACGGAGGTTGCCTGTCCAACTGGTTTCCAGCAAACTAAAATATCAGGTGAACAGAGAACAACAGGTGGCACATTAATCACACTCTCATTAGCACGCCAAAAGCACATCGACAGATCGACTACAGCACCTATCACTGCCTCACGAAATCAAGATGAAAACAAAGCCGCAGTAGGCAGCCGATGGCAAGATTCCATAAATAGAACTTTGGTGATGATCAAGAACCGTTAGTAAGTTTCTCGCACCTGGCCGTGAGAAGGTAACAGCTCTTGATAAGGCAACGTGCAGTTGTCGTTGCCATGTTCGTCTCCACAAACTTGTCAACGTATCCTCAGTGTCCCGAGTCTACAGGCTCAATTTCCATAAACTCAATAAGCAGAACTCCCTTGTTGGTTCTCATTCTGATCTTTGATTTCCCATTCCATCCGTGATGTTTCACTCAATGTAATCTTCCGATGTAACAAGAAGTCATGATCATGATGACGGGATGAGTGAGTGTGAACTGACAACATGAATGATTCTGGCCAAATACACTCATTTGCAAACTAATCTGGTTTTCGGGAGACTCATCAAATTAGTTTGTAAAAGAGTGTATTTCACTAATTTCGTGCATTTGGTTTCAATTAGAACATAAGTTTGACGGAAACTCGGGGACTGAGCCTACCTGATGAGCCTCAAGAAGAGCGAAAACGGTCGTGGGCTGTCGAAGAGTTTTCAGCAACCTTATGAGTAGTGTATTACAACTATATGAATGATTCTGTTCTTTCCAATAGGCAGTGACGTGTAGTTTTTGTTGATGTTGAGGCCATTCCTCTGACGTGAGAACCTGTTTTACAGGTGGCCACTTCCAAACAACAGAGACTTGGGTAGTCAAAGAAAGTAAACTTTTACGCTTTCGTTCTATCGGACATATGAAACGAGTGGCTACTGGGATTCCTCTCATAAGACGAACAATCTGTGTCACTTGTTGATTAATCTTGAAACGCCATATTCAGCTGGCTGCGTATGGTACTTATTTTTTTATATTGGACCGAAATTCACGTGGAAACAGTTAGCTCGATATCTCCAAGTTGTACAGGCAAGTTACGGCTAGATGATAAGTCGGATGGGGTACGCAGTGCAGAACAGCGACTCTATCAGGACGGAGAGACAAACTGAAATTGTGTTGGCCGGAGAGTCGGCTGAACCCCACCTGATTTCCTTGCGCATACTGTAGATCAAATGATTATTTTGTCGAAAGGGTACCGACGAGGTAGTGAGCTGTTCGAGGGTTTGCACTAAACTCTGAACATTGCTGTATGAAAAAAAATTCCTCGCTATCTTGGATGTTGTTTCAACTAATACGAGGCATTATATACATATATATACGCATGTACATGTATGGGATAAAGCATTAAATCACTTAAATGGTTGTGAAACAGGGTCCTGCAATTATATCTACCATCTTAGCACCACATTATACACAGCTTGACCCTTGGTGATGAAATAAAAGCGTGAATCACAAAGGTCGAGGAACATTTGCCTGTCTAAAGCAATCTTCATCTACGCCTGGAGATCAGGAGAGGAATGGTTCACTGTCTTCCCTACGTTATGAGTATGAGGACGGACAACATATTTGGACTTTGGGCCAATTCCACTTACACTACCTGAAGTAACTGGTTTAAGTCAAATGGAATAACTGAATCCCGAACACCATAGCCCTTCCAAGTAGTAAGCGTCTTGGACGTGAACACAGCTCGATGAGCAAATAGCTCGGCTGATAAGGCCACTTGAAACAAATAGGTGAAATTCACACCCTCAACTTTTCTACAATATAATCAAGAATGGAGTTCGAAATCTGGGATGATCGGAATTCTGCTACTAAGGGAGTGGGTTTGATAAACTGCAAGTTACACTCTGGATTATGGGAGGACCTGAGATTCGACAGAACGGCGTAGACGATGGCTGCACAAGCAGATGTGTGGGGCTTTGAGACGAGATGCATCGAAACGCATGAGGAATTAGTAATGAACTTAATCATTTCCAGATAGTCTAGGCCGTAGGAGCCGCGCCATTAACGGACACATGCCTTAGTGGGACCAGTCTTATGGGCCATCAGCTTACTCTGACAGTGTCATCCTCAGGATAATGCAACCACTAACCACACGCTTTATGGGATTCCCTACCTCCCAGAGGATATGTCTAACAAGAGTTTACCGGTAACACTTGCACGTCACTTTACTGGAGTCCGCGGGTAGTACGCTGAATACTGCAGGAACTGACGTATGACATCAATACCTCCATGGTGAACAAGTAGCTGGTGCCAGCCCCCATTGTTATGCCATCATTTTTAGGCCTGCCGATCACCAGCGACTGGCCATTGCAGGTTCGTTTGCTCGTTTCATTTCCCTGGACTACCATCGGCTGCAAGGTTCTGCGTGTAGATCAAGGCAGATCGTCTGAGCTCTCCTACAATGCACAACTGTGCAGTGGTTCGACCACATTTGCCATATGTGGTCTGCGGGAATTCACAGCAAATAATATTGGCATGAACGAAAACCTGGTGTTCAGGCCAGCTTCAATGAAACTGTCAGTATAGAGAGGTGACCAACCCTTTACTTGGCAGAGGAGTATGAAGGAGATCATTAAACGCTTGGGTGCTGTCGGTGCTACTCGCCTTCCAGGATGGGGACCGCGTGATCCTCACTGCCTGGTTGGAGATACTACAGGATATGGCTGCCAACCGATGTCAG